GCCTCTGATGCCTCAGTAGGTGGCCTCTGATACATCTTAGAAGAATATGGGCAAGAACCATGTCTGGTATACTGAGCAATGTGATGCGTCAGTGATTACTGCAGTCCCATTGGCCCCCCTTCCCCTTCCAGAGAGGGATGACCACACCCTCAAAAGGTCAGGGGGAATGGTACCGACGGCAGATGGCAGCCAGGACAGATGCAACCCAAGTGCCATGGGTTCACCACCAGCCTTTAACAGTTCAGCTGTGATGCCGCAAATACGAATGTGGGCAAGAACCTTGCTTGGTATACTGAGCAGTGTGATGCCTCATGATTGCTGCAGTCCCATCGGTTCCCCTTCCCCTTCCCGAGAGGGATGACACACCCCTCAACAGGTCAGGGGGAATGGTACCCGGACTGCCAGGATGGCAGCAGGACAGCATGCAACCCAAGCGCCATGGGTTCCCAGCAGCCTTTACAATTTAACTGGGATGCGCAAATTGCCGCTGCTTTGCCGCTTTTCAGCTTGGAGATCGCCACCCTAACTTCAGTTAGGCAGGGTGGATCCTCACTGATTTTGTGGGTCCGGCATTGGAATCACGGCACAACCCGCTTCCAAGTTAACTGTTGGTGGTTCAACCTGGTACAGTTGCTCAAATACTCAGCCCAACGCTCCCACACCATAACAGGATCTGAGACGATCTGGCCACTTTCTATGAACCGCTGTCACCTAAGAAGAGGGCTTGGAGCTCAGCTTTCTCAGGGTTTGGTATGCAGGACGAAGGTCATTTCATAAGAAATGGCCTTCTACTTAATCTGCAAGATTCCTAATAAAATGTTCCTTATCCCTTCTTAACAGTGACCGAGGTCTGTGCACCTGAGAATGGTACAGATCCTGATCCCCTGTTAGTCGAGCCGCATGACAAGCATCTGTGGCATCTAGAGTTTCATGTGAGATGAAATTCTGTCCTGCTCTCGGGCATTCACCAATCGTTACTTGATCTGCATCAAATGTTTTGCACTTGAAGGTGTACCACAGAAGTACAGGTTCGTCAGATTGTCGAGTACTGCAAAACGACCAGAGACTACTACCCCCCCGGTTACACTCCCCCTCAGCCTGTCCAAGTGAAACTGCTGCGGAGTTTTGAAGGGGACCTAAAGGGTAGCCACAACCAATCTATGGTCAGTACCATAGAATCGACAGTCCTATACACCCTGCTGTCTAGAGGATCTCCAATGAGTGCTAACGAGTATGTGGTCGATGCTCTTTGCTGCATTACCTGCATCGCTGTACCAAGTCCAACGATGTGGGTCTGGGCGCTGGTACCAGGAGCCAGAAATCCTCAATTTCTGGGACCTAGCAGAGTCCCGGAAAAGGAGGCTATTCTCACTAATGATATCAGTTCCTGAACCATGGGGACAGACAAACATCTCATAGCCAGCTTGATCACAGTCAGATACCGCATTGAAGTCGCCCAGAACAATACGAATATCACTCCGGGGACACCTGTCAGACACAGATGCTAGTTTGGCGTAGAACATCTCTTTCACCTCAAGTTTACAAACATCGGTAGGAGCGTATACAGCAATAAGAGACTTGAAGCTACATTCAGTCTCATTACCATTATACACTCAACAACTGGAATAACTTCTACTACCGAGGGCTGGGTCTGCTGGAGATAGCCATGGCTACTCCCTGAAGATGGTGACCATTGCTGAGGCCCGACCAGTAGTAGGTGTAGCCACTTACACTAATTGTGCCTGCAGGCTTTTCTCACCTTTGAGAGAGCAGCCACCTCCACTCTCAGCTTCTCCAGTTCCTTCAACAGCAGAGGTATAGCTCTGGCAGTCACTCCAGGTGGATTGCCATCTCTGCCACCCCCCGCCAACGGTGATCATATAAAAGGGAGCGGCAGGTTACGGGACCCATATATTATATATATATTATATATATATATATATATATATATATATATATATATATAAATAGAAGAGTTCGAAACTTCACGCTTATTTTCAATTCTCACTGTGGCTAGTTTCATTTCATATAAAAAAAATATATAATATATATATATATATATATATATATATTATATATATATATGGTATGTGTGTGTGTGTGTGTGTGCATATATCATGTGTTATATATATATATATATATATATATAATATATATATATATATATATATTATATTATATATATATATATTTATATATGTACATACATATATGAATATATATATATATATATATATATATATATATATATATTATATATATATATATATATATATATATATATATGATATATATATAATATATATATATATATATATATATATATATAGTATATATATATTATATGTATATATATATGGATTGGCAGTGAGGGAACGTTGGAAGTATTTCTTATCAATTCTATCTAACCATAGGAGAAACATATTTTATACACACACATAAATATGTCTGAAATTAGAATATGCTTGTTTTATGTTAGCCTATAATGAACGCTCATTCTTACACAAGCGTGCTTTTGACTAATCATTTCTTCTTTTACTCATCCAGTGAGTCATATAATCTAGCAAAAGTAATGTCTCTTACTTGCGGAAACTTCTCTCCCTTCTGCATGGTGGCCTTGTCCTTGTAGATTTTCCTGAGCTATGTGTGTCCAGGGGCGACGGCGCGGATGGTGCAGCGTCAGGTTTTCCTCGTGGGGCGCTGATGACAGGGTAAAGGGGTGGTACTCCTGTAGGACCAGAATTTGATAAAGTAAGACAGACAGTAAGATCAACACACTCGAAAACACGGCTAACCTCCAAGAGAGCCACTCCGTTTTCTATTCTTCAGTAAATTCAAAGACAACGTCTTCGTGACGCATTCCGCGACCTAAGCCTTGCAGACGTGACGCTGCTTGAGATCCGGCGTCCCCCGAATTTCAGCTTCCAGTCGGGGCAGTGGGTTCGGATCGCCTCCCTGGGCATCAGCAGCAAGGTAGGTCGCGGAAGTGGTCACGAAGACGTTGGTCTTTGAATTTACTTGAGAGAATAGAAAACGGAGGTGGCGTCGTCTTGGAGGTTAGCCGTGCTTTCGAGTGTTGATCTTACTGTCTGTCTTACTTTATCAAATTCTGGTCCTACAGGAGTACCACCCCTTTACCCTGTCATCAGCGCCCCACGAGGAAAACCTGACGCTGCACATCCGCGCCGTCGGCCCCTGGACACACAAGCTCAGGAAAATCTACAAGGACAAGGCCACCATGCAGAAGGGAGAGAAGTTTCCGCAAGTAAGAGACATTACTTTTGCTAGATTATATGACTCACTGGGATGAGTAAAAGAAGAAATGGATTAGTCAAAAGCACGCTTGTGTAAAGAATGAGCGGTTCATTATAGGCTAACATAAAACAAGCATATTCTAATTCAGACATATTTATGTGTGTGTATAAATATGTTTCTCCTATGGTTAGATAGAATTGATAAGAATACTTCCAACGTTCCTTCTGGCCAATCCATATATATATATAATATATATATATATATATATATATATAATATATATAATATATATATATATTATATATATATATATATTATATATATATATATATATATATATATATATATATGTATATATATATATATATATATATATATATATATATATATTCATATATGTAATGTACATATATATATATATATATATATATATATATTATATATATATATATATATATATATATATATATATATATATATACACATATATATGCACACACACACACACACACATACATATATATATATATATATATATATATATATATATATATTATATATATATATATGTTTATTTTTATATGAAAATGAAACTAGCCACAGTGAGAATTGAAAATAAGCGTGAAGTTTCGAACTCTTCTATTATATATATATATATATATATATATATTATATATATATATATATATATATATATGATGGGTCCCGTAACCTGCCGCTCCCTTTTATATGGATCACCGTTGGCGGGGGTGGCAGAGATGGCATCCACCTGGAGTGACTGCCAGAGGCTATACCTCTGCTGTTGAAGGAACTGGAGAAGCTGAGAGTGGAGGTGGCTGCTCTCTCAAAGGTGAGAAAGCCTGGCAGCGGCACAATTAGTGTAAGTGGCTACACCTACTACTGGTCGGGCCTCAGCAATGGTCACCATCTTCAGGGAGTAGCCATGGCTATCTCCAGCAGACTCCAGCCCTCGGTAGTAGAAGTTATTCCAGTTGTTGAGTGTATAATGGTAATGAGACTGAATGTAGCTTCAAGTCTCTTATTGCTGTATACGCTCCTACCGATGTTTGTAAACTTGAGGTGAAAGAGATGTTCTACGCCAAACTAGCATCTGTGTCTGACAGGTGTCCCCGGAGTGATATTCGTATTGTTCTGGGCGACTTCAATGCGGTATCTGACTGTGATCAAGCTGGCTATGAGATGTTTGTCTGTCCCCATGGTTCAGGAACTGATATCATTAGTGAGAATAGCCTCCTTTTCCGGGACTCTGCTAGGTCCCAGAAATTGAGGATTTCTGGCTCCTGGTACCAGCGCCCAGACCCACATCGTTGGACTTGGTACAGCGATGCAGGTAATGCAGCCAAAGAGATCGACCACATACTCGTTAGCACTCATTGGAGGATCCTCTAGAACAGCAGGGTGTATAGGACTGTCGAATTCTATGGTACTGACCATAGATTGGTTGTGGCTACCCTTTAGGTCCCCTTCAAAACTCCGCAGCAGTTTCACTTGGACAGGCTGAGGGAGGGGGAGTGTAACCGGGGGGGTAGTAGTCTCTGGTCGTTTTGCAGTACTCGACAATCTGACGAACCCTGTACTTCTGTGGTACACCTTCAAGTGCAAAACATTTGATGCAGATCAAGTAACGATTGGTGAATGCCCGAGAGCAGGACAGAATTTCATCTCACATGAAACTCTAGATGCCACAGATGCTTGTCATGCGGCTCGACTAACAGGGGATCAGG